CAAAGAATTGGGATCTGTCAATGCTTTGACAGATGACACACCAATTTGAGTCAGAGAAGCCAGTGCCCTCCCTTCAGGCAATATCAAGCCCTATGTAGCATCAAGAAATGCAAAAACATGGCTCATCAACAACAAACATAGATGGTCTATACTAGCTCACCCAGACCTTATCACACCACAAACTTCTTTTCCAGTTTTAATTCATTCAGTCCCAGCAGATACATGACCTGAATCAGAAGAATTCAAATCAGATTTTGAAGTGGAAAACAATATCACTGAAGGAGATATTGTCAGTGCACTGTGGTATGCAAAAGCTATTGGAAGGTATATAGTGGGTTGTTGACAAGGTGTTCAGGTAGAAGGAAGCATGTGAAATTTACCAGAGGTATACCAATGGATTCCTAGGGGTTGGTTTACTTAGGTAGATTTGCTTTAGGAAGCATTTGGAGTATGGGAATGTAGTTCTCATGTAGTTTCAAGGTTTGGTAGTAGGTATAGTACATGGGAAATATAGGAAGTCATTTAAGGGTTGGTTTTATGGCTACATGAGTGGTATGGTTGGATTCATAGAAGGTACTTTTATTAGGTATATTTTCATTTGGAAGGATTTGGCTAGTGGCAAGAGAAGTTACATTGGGTCACCATCAAGAAAATTGCATCGAATAGAGGCATGCTATGTCACATAGCAGGCCAAGATGCAATGCAATAGGTCTATTTTCCAAGGTAGGGCCTTGAAAAATGGTCCATAGTATCACATGAAGACATGCTATGTTACATAGCAAGCTTCCATGCAATGAAAATATGTTGGCAGTGGGTGGAACATGTTCAAGATGGGGTCCAGCACCAGCTAGTAAGATATCAAGGAAGGGATTGTTGTATGATAATGGGACCAAAACTGTTGAGCATGTAGGATATGGTCTACTAGTAGGATTTTTTTTGGTTTTGTTTGGGTGGTTCCTTGATAGTGTTTTTGTGCATGCATCAATTTTATTTGCAGAGATAGTGGAGAAAGTGGATGTGAGAATCCTGCTTCTGTCAGGCAAGACTCCTCACTAAAAATGACAAGGTGATTATGGGCACAGAGGCCAAGAGGGGAACAGGGTTCTCAGTGAGCACCTTGCTTCTATCTAGCAAGACACCTCACTAATATGGACAAAGATGATTAAGAGCACAAAGGCCAAGAAGAGAAAGTGGGTTCCTTTACTATCCCAAATGCCCAGGACTACTCCCTGCAAGCCAGATGGGCACTGGACTTATCTAGAACTAAACTAGATATCTGGCAAGTCCAGTGATGACCAGTGCAAATCCTTACCTTGCACTATCTGGTGGTCAGACCAGTGCAAATCCTTGCCTTGCACTATCTAGTGGTCAAACAAG